TGCCACTGACACAGAGGCAGCAAGGGGGGGGGAAGTAGTCGACTAGATTATCAGATAAGCATAGGCTTATCGGGTAATCAACTACTGCCTTACATCCCTAGTGGGCTTTCTATCTAACAAAGGTTTCAGAGGGGTAGCACCGTTAGTCTGTTTCAGCAAAAACAAGGAGACCAGTGGCACTTCAAAGAAATGTACTAGGGCATAAGCCTTCATGAGATACAACTCACTTCCTAAGTAGTCGACTAGATTATCAGATAAGCATAGGCTTATCGGGTAATCAACTACTGCCTTACATCCCTAGTGGGCTTTCTATCTAACAAAGGTTTCAGAGGGGTAGCACCGTTAGTCTGTTTCAGCAAAAACAAGGAGACCAGTGGCACTTCAAAGAAATGTACTAGGGCATAAGCCTTCATGAGATACAACTCACTTCCTCAGATGCTGAAGAGGAAAGAAAACATAAAAGGACGGGATACAGAGATGGGGTGTGTGACCAATTAGCTCCGTCACATTCCCATCTTTGTATCCCTTCCTCTTCTGTTTTCTTTTCAGCATCTGAGGAAGTGAGTTGTATCTCATGAAAGCTTATGGCCTAATAAGTGTGTTAGTCTTTAAAGTGCCACCAGACTCCCTGCTGTTTTTACCTAAAGAAGGGGAAACATTTCCACATATTTTTGCATCAAAGAGGGGAAAAGAAAATCTCTGCAGAGCCTCCCTCTGCTACTTCAAACTGGAGGGTAACAATTTTGACACACACAGGCCCCTCTTCATGCAGGGGCCTCCTTTTACTCAGAGTAGTCCATGGGACTGAAGACAAAAGACTGTGCAAGTGGTTTTGCAGGAGTGTCCAAGCACAGCCAGATTCTCCTAGGGGACGTACACAGGGATTTGCTGATATTTTGACATTTGCATCAATGACATCCAGAGCAAACCAGCAATTGAGCCTGGAAACCAGAGCTTTGCAATATGGATTTTATAGGTAAGCATGTGTCATAGACGGAAAGTGCCTGAGGCAACCACTAGCAATACTTTTATTTTAGATCAACAAGAGCCACATTTATTGCAAGCACTTCCTTGTTTAAGTGAAAGCTCCCACTCCCCACCCAGCAAATGACCTATCCTTACTCCAGGCCTATTGGTTCCACAAGCTGGCGAGTTTCTCATCAGGGAACCGACCGGGAACCCCCCTGCAAAACGCAAACAAAATCCTGCTCGGATTCTTTTATGGGTTGGTTAATTTCTCTGCCCGATCCAGCTCGGGGGCTGCTCCGAGTCACCCTGGACTTGCCCCCGGCTTCCTTAACAGACTCTCTTCCGCTCGCCCGCGCCTTGCAAAACAAAGGGAGGCCCAGAGACTCCGTGCCCTGCGCCCTCCTGCAGCGGGGGCTGCCCGCAGCGGAGAGAATTCACTTGCAAGCTCTGGGGGGGGGCTCCTGCGGCCGAGCCCCGCTGCAAAATCCGGCCTCTGCACGCTATGCCCCTCCTCCCTCTGCACGCTATGCCCCTCCTCCCTGCTTCACAAGGGCCAAAGGGGGGGGAGGGCTCCTTACCTAAGTACCGCGGTAGAGCCCAGCCAGGAGCGCGCGACACCGTGTCTGCAAGGGCCGCGCGACACTTTCCCAGCCCGCGGCCTGCCCCGCC